GTGCTGAGGGCACGCGAAGCGCGCCGCAATTTTGGCCACACCCACTTTTACGGCGGTAAAATGGCCTTTTCCTGCATTTTTGTCAATTATGGGTGGGGCCAAGATCATTTCAAGCATACTGCCATGCGAGCTGCCATGTTACTGGTACTTCTGATTGCTCCTTAAAGCACTGGAAACTACTGAAATCATGATCAGGGGGCTAGATAACTTTGTTAGGAGGCTTGGTAGTGATGCAAGAGTCCAGGATTTGAGTAATTTTTTCTGAGCCCAGCCATGAGGCGGGTGCTCAAGCCCCCCAGCCCTCCGCCCTAAATACGCCTCTGATAGTAATCAGTTAGTACAGTTAAAGTGTGTGTGTGTGTAGTATCCTATATACCTTGTTTATTGGCCTCAACCAGTGCCTCCTGTAGTGATACTTTGCTCTCATGAGCCACTTGTAGGTCTTCATGTAAAGATTGTATATATCTCTGAAGCTTCATTTCCCTCTCTGTCGGATATTCTATTAGCTGATCCATCCACCATCTTCTGGTCTTGCTGTATGATTGATACTTTTCTTGATAGTTCTTACTAGTGAGATCATTACCATCCAGTACTGACTGTACTATCCACTCACCAGCTTCACTATATACTGAGAGACAATAACATACATTATATAATTATAAATAAATGTATTTAATTTACAAAACTAATGGTATCATTTATGGTGGTTGTAAATACACACCCACACATACAGTGGTATTGTAGTGTGTACAGTATACAAAATGAATGGAAAATGTACGTCATATTAGGAACTGAAATTTACAAATAATGTACATACTATAAAAATGAGTGGTACATTATTTAATGTAATTATGTATTTAATGCTCATATCCTTACAATTGATTAATATTATCTTACCTAATTCAATTATCATTATTAGTCTATTAGTATCAGTGATTAATGTAAGCATCGGCACCTCCTTTCCTCCTCCAACATCTTTCATTCTAAATCTTTCACATCCTCCAACAATTACTAGCCACACACAGTGTGGTGACATTGTGACTGCTGTGAGTGAGTGACTGTATCTACCAGTAACAGATTCAGGTAGAGGAATCTGTAGATAAAGAGAAGTATACAAGTAATTACTGATACATGATGTTTATTCAGTTACTTATAAAAATGAGAAATTCTATCATTTCATATGTAGATGATCGTTACATTTATTGTAATTGTAAAATCAATTCTAATCTGAACAAAATATATATTTCATTTCATGCACATCATGTAAAGAATAACAAAATATGTACAAAATTAAATGTCAATATTTTAAAAATAGGAAATTTGTTAATAGTACACACACACACACACACACACACACACACACACACACATAAAAATTAATTAATGATTTAATACCCACCAGTCCCACCTACATGTACATGAATATTTAAGTATCAATTAAAGAAGCATGGCAGCATCTAATTGTGTGATGGCAGTAAAGAAAGACAGCATTCCCTGTAAGTCATGTATTTTAAAACAATTTATAATCAAAAATTAACTGTATAAACAAAGTACATGTAGCATACAGTGTCCTTTATATGTAACATAAACTATAACTGTGTGCATAGGAGTAGTTAGCATAGAGTTCAGTTACACAAACACCTTATCAGTTAAACCAATAGCTGAGTGAGGCTCAGACAGTGCGGGGAGAGTTGAGGCCCCATAAATGATCTTTAACCCGCCATTTCTGGTTCTCAAGGCCAGACTGTCTGTCCCTTGCTCAGTAAGCATAATTTCAAATAGAAGGGAAACCCCATACTCTGTTAATTTCGACTCTTAAGTCAATGGATGTGTTGAGCTTTGAAGATGCCAGTACTTTCAATCGAGGTGCAAGTCCAGCGCTAGGCTACGGTTATGGTAGCTGGGTCCTGAGACATAGCCCGGGGGTTAGGTCAAAACACAAACACACACACACACACACACTAAGATTGGTTCACAAAGTAATGTAATGTGTACTATTTAATCAAATGTGTGGGTGGTTCTATTGTATTGTTAATGTTTCATCAGTGATAGTGTTATCTACTGAACACACTAACAATTACTAATCTATCATCAATATACATCAGTACTAGTGTCATACTCTCAACTGACCTAACTATCAGTCTACACTCAGACGGTACACTTCTCTAAACACCGGAAGTGTAGGAAA